AAAAAAAAAACAAATGGCGGACAATTTGAATCATATTTCCGACGACGAAGAGTCAGAATGGCTGGCAAATATAGATCCAAGTTCATTAGATGAATCGAACGAAGAAAAACAGCTTGACGACCAGAAAATTTCTTCATTTAATGAAGAAAATAGAAACAGCAGCACAACAACGCGCCAATTCCGTTCCGCTTCGCATACTTCTGTCACGCACTCCCCGTAAATAAACATCCGCGAAATTCGCCCGCACTGAAATAACAGTTTGGCGTGTTGGATGACACAACAAAACGTCTAATAAGATATATATTTATATATATTGCTGGGAGTAATTTTGTCGTGGTCACTCGTGGGAGTTTAAGGGTTAAGTGATTGTGTAGAGTATCTGAAATTGTCTTTTTTTAGCTTTAATGTGGTTTGATTAGCATCCTCTTGAAACTTTTTCTAATTGGACTAAAGAAAGCATCTTTTTCATTGAATACCCACTGACTCTTAATGGTAAGTACTATTGTTACTATTGGTTTATATTATAGTTATTTAGATTTTGGTTTTTACCACATTTCGATCTATCGAAAAGCATCATCACGATTTAAGCTGTTAATATTTCCAGGGCGGTGGCGCAGGTTTGTCGGTCCACTGCTCAGCCAATTTCATGTTATAGGCGTTTACTGCGTTATTCATCTTCTCCATGCAAGTCGACGAAATCGGCTGACCGATTTGAGCTTAGTCGCATTTGAATTGTCGCAGAAACTGCATAACATGGTTCTGTTGCTTGGGAATGGCAGTCTTTCCTTGCCTTTTATAGTCAAGCCACATTTTCATCGCGTATTCAGGATCGGAATAAGCCTCTCCAAAGTGCACCAAACCTGGTCTGAGATTCTGTTTTATTTTTGGGCGGATTAAATTCATGGCGTTGAACGTCCTCCACAGGTACTTACTCATCTTAAGGAAGCACACCTCCAGAGGAGCCTTGAGGCAATGGCTGAACTCCTTGTTTGACTCTCCCCAGTTTTCGATCATGGACACCCACAGGTCCATGAGTGAAAGCGATTTCGATATATCAATCACCTTCATTTGTGTGCCCCCCACCACATGTCGTATGGCGCCTCGGGTGTGATAAGCTTCAGCTGCGTAGATCAGGGCCTTAGCAAGTTCATCTGTTGGAAGAAAAGTACGCAAATATTAAACCAGCTTATCGCTTTCCCGGCATAAAAGTAAAAGTCAGGTTTTGTTGTAAACAGTGGAAAACTTTTATATGGCCGGAATTACACCAGAAAGAAGAGATGAAGATGACCATCTCAGATGCAAAGATGTTGCAAATCGTACAGTTTATGATGTTACTCGTGCCCCGTCGTGTGCGCGCTTTTACTGAAAACAAAAACTCCTCGTTATAGAGATGGAAAATAAGAGACACGAACAGGTTCACCCCTGCGCATGCGTAAGAAAAATTGAAGTAGAAAGGAAGATACAGAGAGAGAAA